AGACACAGGGGTATCCCTGTCTGTCCCACGCAGCCGCCTTACCTGCAGCTCCTTGAGGACTTGCTTGATAAGGAAAGTGCCCAGCTCAACACCCTGTAGTCCCTGCTGAGTCAAACTGATGGAGTAGAAGATGGCAGCAGTAATTCTGTGCTTCTCCTCTGTTTCCGATGGAGGGCATTCCTTCACTATTGCCTGTGAGACACCAATGGTGGACCTGAACAGGTGGACGCTCTCCCCACCCCCACACAACCCTTCCGCTTTGGCCACAAGACCATTCCCAGAGAACAGAAAGAGCTGAGAGACCTCCGCTCCCCGACTTGGGTTTAGCTATAGAGACCCAATGCCGCCTGTCCTGGAGGTGCCCATTTCACAGCCTCCTTGGGTGTATCACCTCTACCACTTGAAATTCTCATGCAAACTGAAACTCGCTTCCATTCTCCCCCACAACACCCAGAGGTAACACAAAACCTTCGTCGAGGCCAAATAGCTCCCATTTCTTTGCCATTCCTCAAAAGGCTGCTTTTTCTACCTGTTAGTTATCTTTGCTTCTATTCTCTGAACTTTAGTTCTTCAGGATTTCTCAATAGGCCATATGCAGTCCTACATGATTTTTCTTTTTGCAAATCTACCCTTTTATGACTTTTCTATGTGCCTTTTTTGACTCTGTGCCAACATCTTTGATTTTCCCAAATGAGAACACATATTCACACAGACACATACAAGCAGCAATCTAAGAAATGACTTATACTGGAAAGTCACTTAGCCGAAATATAGTTTTATTGGCACTCATTTCTGATTGCAGGGTTTTCTGAACCCAATCCTCTGAAGGTCACTTGATAATAGTGGAATAGCAGGCAGTTACCTTCTAGTTTGCTTTGATGCAGGTTTTGACATTATGATATTTAGTATTGGTTTTTGTCCATGGTTCCAGGCTCATGCTACTCTCTGACCTTCTCCTGCCTGCCTTTCATCTGCGCCTTTTTCTGTCTGAGGAAGAAAATTCTCTGATGTACCTTAGCTGACTGTAGGTCTTAAGACCCCCATTTCAGGAGGGGTCCTGCCCCGTGCTGGGAGGAAAGAACATTGCACAGAGAGGCCAAGAAGAGCCTGAACGGACATGCCTCGCTGGGTTTACCAATCCAGGCCGTTAGTGTTAGATCAGACACTTTTTGTCCAATCACATTTCTACATGGCTGTCCATCCTTCAATCATGCCTACATAATGAAGCTTCCATAAAAACCCAAGAGGCTGGGTTCAGAGAGCTTCCAGATAACTGAACATGTGGAGGTTCCTGGAGGGTGGTGGCCCAGGGAGGGCATGGAAGCTCTGTGCCCTTCCTCCATACCTCACCCTCTTTGTCTGTATCCTTTGTAATATCCTTTATAATAAACTGGTAAACATATGTACCTGTTTCTCTGAGTTCTGAGAACTACTCAAGCAAACTAATCAAATCCAAGGGAGGGGCTGTGGGAACCCTAATTTATAGCTGGTTGGTAATAAGTTCCCGAGCCCTGGACTTGCAACTGGTATCTGAAATGGGGGGCAGTCTGGGGGACTGAGCCCTCAACCTGTTGCTGTCTCCAGGTAAAGAGTGCCGGAGCTGATTTGGAGGGCACCCAGCTGGTATCTGCTGAGAAACTGCTGGCTTGCTTGCCAGCAGGGAGCTGTCCCCACATATGTGGTCACAGGAGCCAGTCTTATGTGTGTGACTGTTGTTGAGTGAGAATAAAGAGAGTGTTTTTTCCCACTTGCTCACAGTACGCTAGATTGCTTTTGAAGAACACATTTAAACCATTTTAACTCCCACCAGCTACATTTGATTCTTGAAGTACAGGTGTTTAGCCTAGAGCCTGTGGATGAGGTCTGGAGGTCCACAAACTTTCTGAAATTCTGTATGAATGTGTGAGTCTGTGCATATCGCCCCCTCCCGGAGTAAATGTGCTCAGCTGCCATCCTCTTCAAATTCTCAACAAGGTCTGTGACCGATCCCCGGAAAGTTAAGAAATGCTGCCGTGAGGGAAGTGGGATAGCTTATGAGACGGATGTGACGCCCTGAGGCCCACGCTGGGCTGGAGCTGCACCTGCCCTCAGATGGAAGAATCCGTGCTTCAAAGACCAGAGCGCACTTCGCATCCCTCCTAGTCTTCGTCTCCGTGATGGTCTCCTTCATTTTTTAGGAAGTCTGCAGGTTATCTTGTGGCTCCTTATTCAAAAATTCCCAGCAATCTTTTTTTAAAGTTTTCAAAATAAAACAAATCTTTCTTTGGCTATTCAAATGAGATACGTGTAATGTTAAAGAGGCAAAGAATGAATGCGTAAAGAAGAAATCTCAAGTTACTCCAAAGTGTAACATCCACGCCTGCTGCTGACCTTCTGATGAACACCTCTAGGTCATCTCATGGACTGTTGGTACGTACATGTTTAAATATGCATATACATATAGCTGTGCACACACACGCTCACATGTGCACAAANCACACACACACACACACATACACAGAGATCCAGCGTATGTGAGGATGCACCATATGTACATTTCTTTAACCCATCCTCTACTGATGGACTATTAGGTTAGTAACCCCAGCCTTTCTGTATTAGTCCGTTTCTGTTGCTTATAACAGAATACCTGAAACTGAGTAATTCATGAGGAAATTAAATTTATTTCTTATAGTTTTGGGGGCTGGGAAGTCCAAGGTCCAGGGAACACATCTGGGGAGGGCCTTTTTCTCAGTGGTAGACCCTCTACAGCAATGCAGGATATGACATGGTGAGAATGGGCTGAGCAAGAGAGAGCCAACCTCCTCANACAGCAATGCAGGATATGACATGGTGAGAATGGGCTGAGCAAGAGAGAGCCAACCTCCTCATCTGCTCTCCTTTCAAAGCCATCAGAATGACATCCATTACTCCATGAACGGATCAATCCATTCACAAGGGCACAGTCCTCATAATCTAATAACCTTTTAAAGGCCCCACCTTTTAAATACTGTAATTGGATTTCCCACCCTCTTCTTAACACTGTTACAATGGAGATCAAGTTTCCAAAACATGAACCTTTGGGGGACACATTAACTCACAGCACTTTCCAGACTGTAAACAAGGCTGCATGAGCAACCATCTGCACTCTCAGGTCTGAGTATAACCCCAGGATAAATTCCTAAGAGTGGAATTTTTAGGGTCAAAAGGAGTGCACATACTATATTTCAATACATATTGTCAAACTGTCCTCATGAGAGGTCCTAATAACTTCTAGTCTCACTAACAGCGTGTGAGAGTGCGACTCTTTCAAACACAAAACTTGTGAGAGAATTTTTCCGTGGTGATCAAGAACACCTGCCTGTTTGCCCCGCTCAATTTCTCTAACTTTTTAGGCTAGGAAGCTCTGCTCAGGGGGCCCGTCTTATCATCCATTCAACTGCCTGACAGGCTTTTCCAACCCCAGGCTTCATCCCCATGTGCTCTTGTTCTGAGCAAACCCACTCTGACCCAGGTGTCTGATACTCTCCCCCAACCTGTCTTCACCTCCATTGAGCTCTGCTCTCCTACTTCCAGACCCTGCAGTGTGGCCACTGGTCCTTCCACACCCTGCGTGCCTGTATGAGTATTTCAGACACTCCTGCCCAACTCCTCCTGGAGAGGACCAGCTTGCCACAGGAAGGGACTATCAGACATGATTCCTACAAACCTCCGTGAACCAGGCAGAGTTCTGGGCCTCTATCAGGCACAGGGTACATACTATATCTTTCAATTTTTCAATCATATATCTTTTAAAACTCCCTGAAAACACTTAACACATGCTGAGAAGCTGAGCCAGGCATCCTTATGTCTCTTCTTCCCTCATAACTATTTTCTGCCTCACAAACATGTTCGGTAATGGACTTCCCGTGTCTTAACTCAAAGACGACACAGCTGGATGAGTGCTTTCCTTGCTCCATGACTGTCTATACACTCACGTCCACATTCTATAGCAACAAATCTGGAGATTTTATTTAACTAATTAAAAAGTCCATGGAAGTCCAAAGCAATTAATTTTTTAGAAAGAAGATAATACCAAGTTAAAAAAAAAACCTCAGAGCCTTTGTGGGGTGCCTATCTTGTCCTGGTCGACCATCTGCAGGTACCTGGATGTTGCTGGAGATGTCACTGGTCAGCGCCACATGCAGAACTACCAGGGGCTCTTCAGGGGTTGAACAGTGAGAGAAGAAGTAGCACCTTCTGTAAGGCCCAACACGCTGCTTCATATCCATCCAATTTTTCACAGGATGCACAGCCTCAGACCTGATGAGAAAATCACAGAGATAAGACAGATGTATAATTTACAAGTTAAATAATGACTGCTGATTCCTGTTCGTATTATTCACTGAAGTCAAATAAATCCTTTAAATATAGCTTTAATTGGCTCTTCTGGAAAATTCAAAGAAAATCATTTTAATGTGAAACAGCACTGAGAGGAATACAATTAATAACCATTTTATATACACAATGATGCTCTAATTCTTAATACCCACTTTAAGTTTGTGAGGCTCCCGGAAGCTCTTATGCCACAGATTTTACGCAAAAGCTACTCAAATACTTCATCCTGGAACACT